GCACCCCGAGCTCAGCACGAACAGCAGTTCAGGGATTGTCAGAGGAAATGTTGGGGGTGCAGAGCTCCAGGAGAACACCCAGAGCACCCCGAGCTCAGCACGAACAGCAGTTCAGGGATTGTCAGAGGAAATGTTGGGGGTGCAGAGCTCCAGGAGAACACCCAGAGCACCCCGAGCTCAGCACGAACAGCAGTTCAGGGATTGTCAGAGGAAATTTGGGGGTGCAGAGCTCCAGGAGAACACCCAGAGCACCCCGAGCTCAGCACGAACAGCAGTTCAGGGATTGTCAGAGGAAATGTTGGGGGTGCAGAGCTCCAGGAGAACACCCAGAGCACCCCGAGCTCAGCACGAACAGCAGTTCAGGGATTGTCAGAGGAAATGTTGGTGTGCAGAGCTCCAGAAGAGGAGCAGAACACCCAGAGCACCCCGAGCCCAGCATCCCTGCCGGGGCAGGAGCAGAGGGAGCGGGGTGGGTGCAAGCACCCCTGGAGCCCCGCAGGGCAGGCTCTGCCTCCCGAGCCAGCAGGAATTGCGCGGCCAGAGGGGCGGGACAGCGGGGAGGGAAAGGGAGCAGCACTGGGAGCGCTGGGAGCTGCCCACAGGGGTTTGGCTGGACTGGCTGGTCCAGTGGCCAGCTCTGCACACCAGCCTTCCCTCTGGCAGTGCCTGCAATGCTTTTTGTGCTAAGCTCTGCATTTTCTGCATGTTCTCCTTCTCTCCTGGAGCTCTGCACCCCTAAATTTCCTTTAGGAATCCCTGAACTGGTGTTTGTGCTGAACTCCTCCTGTTTCTGGACGTTCTCCTCCTCTCCTGGAGCTCTGCACCCCTAAATTTCCTTCAGGAAACCCTCAATTGCTGTTTGTGCTGAATTCCTGCATTTCCTGGATGTTTTCTTCCTCTCCTGGAGCTTTACACCCTTGAATTTCCTCTGAGAATTCCCTGAGAATTGCTTTTCATGATTAATTCTTCTGGTTTCTGGATGTTTTCCTTCTCTCTCAGAATGTCAGTGGAGCTCTGCACACCAACATTTCCTCTGGGGATACCTGAATTGCTATTTGTACTCTGGGAATCCCTGAATTGCTTTTTGTGCTGAATTCCTGCATTTTCTGGATGTTTTCCTCCTCTCCTGGAACTCTGCACCCCTAAATTCCCTCTGGAAATCCCTCAATTTCTTTTTTTCCTCTGGCAATCCCTGAATTACTTTTCTTTTTTTGCCTCTGGAACCTCTGAATTGATGTTTTTTTCCCTCTAAATTGTTTTTTGTGAGCAGCTTTGGGCCCTGGCTGGGGGATTTCTCTGCAATCCCTCCCAGTGATCTGACCCTGCACGATTGGGATGTCCCAATGCTGCTAAACCTGCTCCAGGCTGGTTCAACACCCCTTAACCCCTGCTGGGCTCGTTTTTAATCCAAATTTTCCAAAATAAAACTCCCTGGCACATGAGCAATGGGCACATGACTAATCTGTTAATCAGCAGCCGTGGAAATATTCCTTAATTACCCCTCCTTAATGAGCAAGCTCCACGTCAGCCGTGCCCTGGGTGCAGAGGGTTAAATCCAGCCCGGAAATTCAAATTAAAATGAAAATTAAAATCCTGCTGGGGTGAGCCAACATTCATTCGTACTCACTCACCTGTCTGAGGAGGGAACCTGCAGCTGCTCCTGGCATCCTCTGGAATAATTCCGGGTTTCTTTGGGATTGCCTTCCTCTTCTGGGTCCTTTCCTCAGGGATCTGTCACCCCCTGGAACCCCAAATCTGAGATCCTGCCTGGGGATGGGTTTTGCTCTGATTTCCAGTCAGACCCAGCAGGATCTGAGGGAATTCTGAGGGTTGGGGAACACCAGAACCTCCCTGCTGGGAGGGCACCAGAGCTGCAGCCATCCTGGAGCTGCACACAGCATCGCTCCCTCCTGGAAAAGGCCAAAAATCCCAAAAGAACCCTGGAAAAGGGGGTGGAAATCACTCCCAGCTCCTGGAGCAGACCCAAAATCGATTCCCAGTCCAGGAATTCTGGTTGGGAGCTGGAGCAGGTGAGGAACCCCAAAAAATTCTTGGAAAAGAGGTGGAAATCACTCCCAGGTCCTGGAACAGCCCCAAAATGGATTCTCAGGGCAGGAATTCCAGCTGGAAGCTGAAGTAGGTGAGGAATCCCAAAAAACTCCTGGAAAAAGAGAGGGAAATCCCTCCAAGCTCCTGGAGCAGATGAGGAATCCCAAAAAATTCCTGGAAAAAGAGAGGGAAAATCCCTCCCAGCTCCAAAATGGATTCCCAGGGCAGGAATTCCAGCTGGAACTGGAGCAGGTGGCAGCTCCCAGCTGCCAAAAATCAAAAAAATTCCTGGAAAAGAGCTGGAAATCCCTCCCGGCACCTGGAGCAGATGAGGAATCCCAAAATGTTCCTGGCTTGAGGTGGAAGTTGCAGCTGGAGCTGGAGCAGGCGGCAGCAGCAGGAAGAGGAGCAGTGGCAGCAGGGAGGAGGGGATGGAGCAGGAGCGCTCATTAACAAACCCTAATTAAAGCTGGCATTGCTCAATGCCTGTGGCAGCTCCTGCCCTGTGCAGGGTTTGCTTTGGGATCAGTCCAGCTGCGATTCCCTGGCTTCCACCTTGGAGGGTTTCCCCGCAGCGGAGGAGCATGGAATTGCAAAGAAAGCTTTAAAAAAATTATTTTTAAAAATTATTATTAAAAATTATTGAAAAATTATTTTTAAAAAGCCTTTATTAAAAAAAACCTTTATTTTTAAAGAAAATTTATTTTAAGAAAACCTTTATTTTTTAAAAAACTATATTTAAAAAAAATCTTTATTTTTATAAGACTTCATTTTAAAGAAAGTTTATTTTTAAAAAACTTTTAAAAATATTTTTTAAAAGCAGAAAAAAAACTTTAAAAAAAGGGAGGGAGGGAAGGAGAAGGAAAATCGGAGGGAGATGGGAAAAGGAGAACACCAGAGAGATTTGAAAAGCTTTTAAAAACTTTATCTTTATTAACATTATTTTCATACATCAAATACCAGGTTTTGTTGTATCCTTTAAAAACCCTTAACATTTGCTATCAAAATCTGCTTTTAATTTATTTTTAGTGCCCCAAACAACCCCTTAAAGCCTTAAAAATCCCGTCTATTTCCTATAAACTGTTTTTATTTACTAAACATAAACTACTAAACTTCTTTTTATTAAGAAATAAAAAATTAATTTACATAAAATCCCCCACTTTCTACATTAAAAATCCCATTTAATTCCCATAAACAAAATTATATAAAAAAAATAACTTTTCTACACCCCTGGTGCTTCACCTGCCAGGCAGGCCTGATGACATGGGGTTAATCGTTAATTAAAATGTTCATTAAATTGTTAATTGCTGTTTGTGCAGAGCTCTGGTGATGCCACCTGCCCTGGCATGGCTTTGTCGCCTCCCCTTATTGCTCCACCCTTGTTAAAAATGAGATTTTTTGGGGGGATATTCCTCGTTAAAAAAGAGATTTTTAAAAGGATATATATCTAAACATACTTTTTAATATACTTCTACATATATATATTATTTCAATATACCTCATATATATATGTAAATACATATTTTACACACATATATATATATATATGATTTACATATATCACATATATATATGCAAAAATATATAAAAATTTACTTTAAGCTGAAGCTATGCTTTTTGACAAATTGCGCTGGATATCGCCCCTTTTATCCTTTATTCAACATTTTTATATAAAATCTTTTAAACTCTGAGCCCTATTTGTCTCAGTTGGCGTGTCCGGATCACCCTCCCCGCTGGGGCACGATATTTTCCCGCTTTCTGTCGCGACAGGGCTCGCGGGTCCCCTCATGGTTCCCCTCATGGTTCCCTCAGGACTCCCCTCATGATTCCCCTCACGATTTCCCTCCCGGTTTCCCTTCACGATTTCCCTCACGGCTCCCCTCACGACTCCCCACACGCCTCCCGCCCTGCGCGCGCGGTCCCGGAAGCGGAAGCTGCGCGGGCCCCGGAAGCGCCGCCGGCTCCTTCCCGGCAGCGCCGCCATCTTGGCTTGGGCCGTGAGGGAGCCGCGGCCGCCGCTGCCCGCCCCGCCCGCTCCGCCGCCATCGCGGCCCGGCCGCCGCTCCCCGCCTGCCTCCCTCCCTCGGCCGCGGGCAGGAGGGGCCGCCCGGGGCCTGGCGGCCGCGGAGAGGTGAGCGGGACGGGGAGAGACGGGCGGGCTGCCTTCCTGTCTCACTGTCTCTCTGCGTTCTCCTTCTCCCTCCGTTTTCCCCTGTCCTTCCCTCCCTCCCTTTTTCACCCTTCTCTTCTCTTTCAGTCCCTCCTTTCCACGGCTGCCGTCCTGTCTCACCCTTCTCTGCCGTTCTCCTCCTCTCTCTTGTTTCTCCTTCCTTCCTCCTTTTTCCCTCTCCTGTTTCTCCCTCTCTTTCCCTTCCTCCTTTTCCACCTTTCCCCTCTCTCAGTCCTTCCTTTCCTCTTTCTCTTCTTCCCTCCCTCTCTGGTTCCTCTTTCCCCTCTCTCATTTTCATTCCCTCCCTTCCTTTTCCCTTTCCCCTTTTCCTTTCAGTCCCTCCCTCTTTACCTCTCCCTTTCCCTCTCTTTCTTCCCCTTCTTTCTTCTTTTCTCCTTTTCTCTTCTCCCTTTTAGTCCCTCCCTTCCTCTTTCCCTTTTTCCCTCTCTCTCTCCATTTTCTCTTTTCCTCCTCTCCCTTTTATTCCCGCGTTTTCTCGCCTTTGTCTCTCCTTTTTACGCTCTTCCCCCCCCCCCTTTTTCTCCCCTCTTTTTCCGTGCTTCTTACTCCTTAAAAATTCAAATAATGGAATTTAAATCCAAATCATTGAGTTTATCTCTCAAAACAACCCCGAAAGTGGGTTTTATAAAGACCTGGAGAAAGCTTCTATGAAGCTCTGTGCTTACTAAAGTTACACTAGTTAATTGTTGTTAATTAGATTATATTATTACGATTTCCATTATTTTTGCTCTGTAAAAATTGAAATAATTGAGTTTATATCTTAAATACAACCTATAAAATAAAATTCTTTGGGATTTTATTATTAAGGTTTTCTGCGATTCTTGCTCCTTAAAAACTGAAATAATTCAATTTATATCTCACAGCCCATAAAGTGGATTTTTTTAAGGAGCTGGGGAAGGGTTCTACTAAGCTCCGTGCTTATTGAGGTTGCATTAATGAATTTTGATGAATGGATGTAATTGTAATTAACGTGTGTGTTAATCAGATGAGCAGCAGCAGCAATAAGAGGGCCCCCACCACAGCCACGCAGAGGCTGAAGCAGGATTACCTGAGGATCAAAAAGGATCCAGTGCCTTACATCTGTGCTGAGCCCCTGCCCTCCAACATCCTGGAATGGTGGGCATGGGATGGGGAATGGGAATTGGAATGGGGAATGAGAATGGGAGTGGGAAATGGGAACTGGAGAACGGGAACTGGGCTGGGAGTTGGGAACTGGGCTGGGAGTTGGGACGGATCGTCCCTCGCCCCCGGGAGCTGGGGTGAGCTGTCCCTCGCCCCTGAGCAGCAGAAGCTTTCCCAGGCTCTCAGCTCCTTCTCCCTCTCTCTGGAGTCTGGCGCAGAGGGAAGCTTTGCCTGAGGCTGCTCCTGATTTTTTGGGCTGTTTGTGGGTTTTCCCAGTGTTCCATTCCCCTCTTTTCCAGGCACTACGTGGTGCGAGGGCCTGAGCTGACCCCGTATGAAGGTAAATCCCTGCCTGGAGGGTTTCCATGGAAAAACAGCAATGCCAGGGGGTGGGAAAAGGCAAAGTAACCCCACTAAAAACAGCTCCAGAAACTGGGAAGGAGGTGAAGGAATAGGAATGCTGCTGTCAATCATTCTTCTCTTATCAAGAAGAGAAGAATGATTATAAATTATAATATAAGAAGAATATTATAAATTATAATTCTATATATATTTATTAAATGCAATTTATTTCACCCATTGTTTTTGATAGTTTAGAAGTAATTAAGCAGGGAAATTAATGATGGGAATTATTAATTAAACACAATTTATTTCACCCATTTTGGTGGTTTAGAAGAAAGAATAAAGCAGGGGAATTGAGGATGGGAGTTATTTATGAAATATAACTCATTTAACCCATTTTTTGCTGTTTTGCAGGTGGATATTACCACGGAAAATTAATATTCCCTCGAGAATTCCCTTTCAAACCCCCCAGTATTTATATGATCACCCCCAATGGAAGGTTCAAGTGCAACACAAGGTAAGGGCTCCTTCCCAGACTGCAGCCATTCCCATCTCAAATCCAGGACCCCTTCCCAAAATTCCAGCCATTCCCATCCCAAATCCAGGACCCCTTTCCCAGCATCCCAGCCATTCCCATCCCAAATCCAGGACTCCTTCCCAGTATTCCTGCCATTCCCATCTCAAACGGGAAAAAATCTGGGGAAAAAAACCCAGTATCCCATCCATTCCCATCCCAAATCCAGGACCCCACCCCAGCCATTCCTTCCCAGCCCAATTCCCGGTTCCTGGCTGTCTGTCCCTGGCCAGGCTCTGTCTGTCCATCACGGATTTCCACCCGGACACCTGGAACCCGGCCTGGTCCGTGTCCACCATCCTGACGGGGCTGCTCAGCTTCATGGTGGAGAAGGGGCCCACCCTGGGCAGCATCGAGACCTCCGAGTTCACCGTGAGTCCCTTGGGGAGAGTTCCACCAAATTTGGGGTTTCTGGGGGGTAAAGCCTGGCTGGGTTTTGGTTCCTTTTTCCTGTCTCTCCCACAGGTCCACGGGATGAAAAATGAACAAAATTTATGCCCCACAAACCTCAATTTTAGTCAGTAGTCCTCACAAATGTGATGTTTTAAATGTTAAAACCCACTTGGTGTGAGCTTTGCACCATTCTGGTGGGCAATCAGGGGTGGAATTGAAATAATTGGATTGAATTTTCATGGAATTGCTGATAAATTTGGTTTTTCTCCCCAGAAAAGGCAGCTGGCTGCGCAGAGCTTAGCATTTAATTTAAAAGATAAAGTCTTCTGTGAGCTCTTCCCTGAAGTGGTGGAGGTAAGGAAATCTTCATTTATTATTCATTTTTCAGCTCGACCTCCTTCACTGCCCCTTCCCAAATTCCACTTTCCCATGCAGGAAATAACCAACACCACCCAAATCACCCCAAATTCCATTGAATTTTCTGTTCCCCCATGCAGGAAATCAACCAAAAGCCCCCAAATCCCCACAGGTTGCACTTTGCCGCTGACTTTGCTCTCCCCTTTCAGGAGATGAAGCAGAAGCAGAAGGCCCAGGACGAGCTGAGCTCCCGGCCGCCGTCGCTGCCGCTGCCCGACGTGGTGCCGGACGGGGACGCGCACCTGGGGCACAACGGGCACCCCCTGCTGCAGGGGCAGCGCGCGGCCCTGGCGCCCGGGCACGCCGGGGGGCTGCAGCAGCCCCCCAGGAACCACGGACTCTTGGGGGGAGCCCTGGCGAACTTGTTTGTCATCGTGGGCTTCGCCGCCTTCGCCTACACAGTCAAGTACGTGCTGAGGAGCATAGCCCAGGAGTGAGAGCCCCGCAGAGACCAAATTTTACTGGGTTTGGGGTGACCGGGGCTCTTCGGGGGGGACGTTTGGGGTTTGGCCCTGCCTGGGTCATGGTGGGCTCGGGGAACGTTTTGGTTTGTAGAGTTCTGCTCCGTCTGTGGTTTCAACAGTGAAGATCTTCAGCCAAGTTTTACTCTGAGTTTTCACTTCAGGATGAATGGGACTCTTGGAACGGGACTCTTGGAATGGGACTCTTTGGGTGGAAAATTTGGGGTTTTTGCCCTTCCTTGGGTCATGGTGGGGCTTGGTGAGACACGTTGATTTGTAGAGTTCTCCTCCATCTGTGGTTTGAACATTGAAGATCTTCAACAAATTTGACTCTGTTGACTTTTCAATTCAGGGTGAGTGGGACTCTTTGGAATGGGGCTCTTGGGGTGGAAAATTTGGGGGTTTTTGCCCTTCCTGGGTTGTGTTGGGGTTTTGGGTTCAGAAGTCAAAGCATTGTTGGGGAGCCCCTTTGATTTGTAGAGTTCTCCTCCATCTGTGCTTTTAACAGTGAAGATCTTCAGCCAATTTTGACTCCATTGAGTTTTTCATTCAGGATGAGTGGGACTCTGGAATGGGACTCTGGAATGGGACTCTTTGGGTGGAAAATTTGGGATTTTTTGCCCTTCCTGGGTTGTGGTGGGGTTTTGGGTCTTGCTGCTGGTGAGAAGTCAAATTTATTGGTTTTATTGTCCCAAAAATGGGGGTTTGTGTCCCAAAATTCAGCATCTGGGGCTCTGGGGATGGAGGGAACAGTACCTGGGGAGGGAAAAATTCCAGTTTTGGGATGGGAATAACAAAGGAGCTCCTGCAGAGCAGCCGGGTCAGAGGAAAACCCCAAATGTGGTTCCATTTGATTCGGGATTCGTTTTAATTCTTAAAAACCCCAAAATTCCTTTGGGATTCAGGAAATATTTCGCCCCCAACCCCAAAATTCCTTTGGGATTCATCTGCTGAGGTAAGACCTTAAATTTTGTTTAAAACCATCAAAACCCCAGCCCCAATTGTTTTGTTTTTCCCCTAAAAATTTGTTGCATTTAAACCCCAAAATTCCAATTCTTTGGAATTTCCTGGATTTGGGGGAAGATTTGTGGGATCCCTGTGGATTCCAGGATTTGGGAATGGAATTTTTATTCCCATTTTTTGGGGTTGATTTGTGTTTTCCTGGGAATTCAGCTTTTCCCAAAAAAAAGAGAAAAAAACCTCTCCCTCAGGATAAAATCTTGGGATAAATCCTTGAAATTGCAGCTGCAATTCCGTGGATTTAAAAGTTTGGGAATTTTCCCACTGAATCTTTATTTTTAATAAAAATTCCTGGATTTTGGGGGGATTTCCCCTTTTTCCTGGATTTTCCAAGCTCAGAGGAGTGGGAATGGCTGCGTTGTAAAGTGATTTATTCATAATAAAAATCCACAGAAAATCGACTTTTTGGGGAATAAAATTCCATGGGGAAAAAATGGGATTTGGGATATTTCAGTTCATAAATAAAACAATGAAAAATATTCATTTTTCCTGATTGTTTTCCTTTTTTCAGTCGGATTTTCCAGCTTCCCTTGGATGTCTTGGTGTCTTTCCTTCATCATTCATAATTTCTGTAATTCCTTGAAATTTTGGGATATTTTTGGAGCAATCCTGCTGATAATTACTGTTTTTAATTAATATTAAATTATAAATAATAAATTATAATATTATAAACTAGATAGATAATAATTGCAATTATATTAAAATTATATATCTGATTTATTTATAAACAAATTATAAATTATGAATACTTAATAATTTAATTAATAATTACAGGTAATTTAATTATTGATTAATTAATCCTGCCATTTTCATGGGGGAAAAAAATTGGATTTTTAAAGCCAGAAAATCCCATTTCCAGCAGAAAAATCACCAAAAAAGGGTAATTAATTCCATAAAAACTCCAGGAATTCCCAAATTCCTGGAATTTCTTTTGGGAATGAGGACGGCTCATTAGGATTAATTAGGAATTCTTAATTAGCGCCGGAAGCTTTGCCCTGCCGAGTTATTTCCCTTTTGGAGTGGCAGAAATTTGGGAATTTTTTCCATTTTTCCGGGAATTTGGGGTTTTGGGGATCGGCCACGAGGTGGCGCCACCGTGTCGGGAATTGGGGCTGGAGCGGATTTGGGGAATCCTGGAAAATCCTAAACTGGGAACGATCCCAAAATCCCGAAATCCCAGCCTGGGGGCGGCCCTGGGAATGCGGGAATTCCCTGGGGAATATTTTATGGGATTGTCACAAAATCCGGGAATGTTTGGGGCTCTGGGAATGGGGGAATTCCCTGGGGAATATTTTATGGGATTGTCACAAAATCCGGGAATGTTTGGGGCTCTGGGAATGGGGGAATTCCCTGGGGAATATTTTATGAGATTGTCACAAAATCCGGGAATGTTTGGGGCTCTGGGAATGGGGGAATTCCCTGGGGAATATTTTATGGGATTGTCACAAAATCTGGGAATGTTTGGGGCTCTGGGAATGGGGAATATTTTATGGGATTGTCACAAAATCCGGGAATGTTTGGGGTTCTGGGATTCTGGGAATGCCCTGGGAATATTTTATGGGACTAAAATTGGGAAAAGAATTTTTGGGGTGATCTCCAACCCCTCCAGGAGAAAACCATGGATGGTTTGAGATGGGAGGATCCCAAAAATCAGGAAAAGGATTTTGGGGATTATCCCAAAATTGAGAAGAGGATTTTGAAATTGAGAAGAAGATTTTTGGGATGATCCTGAAATTGAGAAGGGGATTTCTGGGATTATCCAAAAATCAGGAAAAGGATTTTTGTGATAATCCCAAAAATTTGGGGATATTCTGGGGGGATTTTTGGGATTTTTCCAAAAAAATCAAGAAAAGGATTTCTGGGATGATTGCAAAATTGGGAAAAGGATTTTTGGGATGATCCCAAATTCGGGAAGGGGATTTTTGGGATTTCCCAGCCTGGGGCTCTGGGAATTCCATCGGTCCCGGGAAGGTCCCGCAGGCGCCGGGGAAGTTCAAAATTATCAACAAATCCCAAAACTGAGCAACAAATCCCGCCTGGAATGTGCTGGGCTGAGCTGCCCTTAACTCCTGCCATGCTGAAGACCTTCCATCGGGACTTTTCCACTTCCTGAATTCCAGGGTTCCATTTCTTCCCGTTCCCCAATTCCATTTTATTCTTTTTTTTCCCTTCCCAAATTCCATTTTTTCCCCCATTTTCTCCTGTCCCCAAATTCCACATTTTTCTGGAGGTGCTGCCAAAAAACCAGGGGAAAAAAAATTGATTTTTCTGGATTTTGGGTTGGGAGTGTCCCGTGCCTCAGTTTCCCCAAGAGCCAGAGTTTTCCTTCCAATACATAAAACTTTTTCTCCTTATCCACAAAACTGGGAAATAAAACAGGGATTCTGCTCTATCCATGCTGAGTTTATCCCGAGGCAGGGATTTCCAGCCCTGCCAGGTGCTCCAAATTCCCAAAAAAAACCCCTGATTTCCCTGGGATAAATTTCCCCCCAAAAAGCTGATTTTCCTGTGAGAAATTTGCAAAACCCTCCTGATTTCCCCAGGATAAAATCCAAAAAATCCTGAATTCCCTGGGATAAAATCGGATTTTGCTGGGATGCGCGGGGAGGGAGCGGGCGCTGATCCCGATCGGGGGCAGTTCCATTATCGGGGAATTTCACGGGATCGTGGAGCGGCGCCTGCAGCTCCTCCTTTTTTTTCCTTTTTTTTTTTTTTTTCCTGTTTTTTTCCTCCTCCTTTTCTGGGAGTTGATGAAAACTCCTCCGGGAAGCCGCGAGGAGCCGGAGCCGCGGCAGGAGCTGCGATTTGGGATCGGAAATTTGGGATTTGGGGTTTGGGATGGGGAACCCGCGCCCTCCTGCCCTCTGACAGCGCCGGGGGCTGCGGGGATTTTTTAGGGAAAAACCGAAAAAAGGAAAAACTTCGGGAAGCTCCACCTGCTCCTGCCGGGCTCGGGAGGTTTCGCTTCCCCCCGCGGAGCTTTTGGGGTGTGAGGAATTTGGGGTTTGGTTTTTGGGGTTTTCTCGGGGGGTGTGAGGACTTTGGGGTTTGGTTTTTGGGGTTTTCTCGGGGGGGTGTGAGGCATTTGTGGTTTGGAATTGCTTTTTGGGATATGTTTTTTGAGGTTTGTTTTTTGGGATGTAAGGAATTTAGGGTTTAGGATTTGTTTTTTGGGGTGTGAGAGGTTTGAGGTTTGGGGTTTGATTTTTGGGGTGTGAGGAATTTGGTTTTTGGGATGTGAAGGATCTGGTTTTGGGAATTGTTTTTTGGGGTGTGAGAGCTTTGGGGTTTGGTGTTGACGGTTTGGTTTTTTTGGGGGATGTAAGGAATTTGGGGTTTGGGATTTGTTTTTAGGGATTTGTGTGAGGGGTTTAATTTTGGGGTGTGAGAGCTTTGGGGTTTGGGATTTGTTTTTTGGGGTGTGAAGAATTTGATTTTGGGGATGTGAAGGATTTGTTTTGAGGGATTTGTTTTTTAGGGCATGAGGGATTTTGGGGAGGGGGGATGTGAGGGGTTTGTTTCTTGGGATTTGAGGGATTTGGTCTTTGGGGTGTGACTGATTTGTTGTATGGGATCTGTTTTTTGGGGTGTGAGAGGTTTGATTTTTGGAGTTTGTTTTTTGGGGGTTTGTTTTTTGGGATGTGAGGGGTTTAGGTTTTGGGATTTGTTTCTTGGGGTGGGAGGAATTGTTTTGGGATGTGAAGGATCTGGTTTTTGGGGTGTGAGGGATCTGGTTTTTTAGATCTTTTTTGGGATCTGTTTTTTGGAGTGTGAGGGATTTTTTGGGGGTGTGAGGGATCTGTGTTTTGGGATCTGTTTTTTGGGGTGTAAGGGTCTGTGTTTTGGCATCTGTATTTTGGGATCTGTTTTTTGGGGTGTAGGGATCTGTTTTTTGGGATCTGTGTTTTGGGATCAGTTTTGGGTGCGAGGCATCTGGTTTTTGGGATCCGTTTTTGGGCTGTGAGGGATTTTTGGGGTGCGAGGCTGGGTCTGTCCCCCCAGGGCCGGCCCGGGATGCCCGCGGTTCCCCCGATCCCGGTTCCCCGCAGCGCCGAGAGCAGCCCGAGGATTTCTCCCGGGAATGGACGGGGCGGTGCCGGGCTCTGAGCCGAGCCTGGCTAAACCCCGCCTGAGCCGGGCTCAGCCCTGCCCCGCAGCTTCCAGCGCCTCCACAACCAGCTTTAAACCCAATCTGGGAGGGTTTAGAGCCTTCAAAACCAGCTTTAAACCAAACCTGGGAGGGTTTAGAGCCTTCAAAACCAGCTTTAAACCCAATCTGGGAGGGTTTAGAGCCTTCAAAACCAGCTTTAAACCAAACCTGGGAGGGTTTAGAGCCTTCAAAACCAGCTTTAAACCCAATCTGGGAGGGTTTAGAGCCTTCAAAACCAGTTTCAAGCCCCATTTCGGGGGGCAGAGTAAAACCAGTTTTAAATCCGATTTGGGGTCAGAAGGGGCTGAGTCAAACCACTTTCAAGCCCCATTTGGGGGTGCTGAGTGCCTTTAAAACCAGTTTTAGGCCGGGTTTAGGGCAGAGCATCTCCTCGCCTCTGGGATTTCTGGGAAGCTCCCACGGACTCAGCTGCATCTCCTGAGGATCCAGAATTCCAAACAAATTCCAAACAAATTCCAAATCAATTCATCTCCGGCTTTTCCACCCCGAGGAGCTGCTTGGAACCTCCTGGAATTTGGATGTTTTTGGACCCAAATCTGCTTGGATCCTTCTAAAATTCTGATTTTTTTTTTTTTTATACAAATCCAGTTGGATCCTTCTCACCTGCTTAATTCTGGATTTATTTTAGAGACAAATCTGGCGTTTTTTGCTCCTGAAGGATTCTCCTCCGGCTCCTGATTCTGACCTGGTTAATTTGGATTTATTTTGGACACAAATCTGGTTTTTTATTGCTGACTGCTTGGATCCTTTTCACCTGCTTCATTCTGGATTTATTTTAGGGACAAATCTGATGTTTTTTTTTTTAATTGCTCCTGAAGGATTTTCCTCCAGCTTCTTGATCCTGACCTGGTTAATTTGGATTTTTTTTGTTTTTTATTGGTACTGGAGCATTTTACCCCTGCCTCCTTGATCCTGACCTAAGAAATTCAGATCTTTTTGGACACAAATCCGATTTTTTTTTGGTCCTGGGCCATTTCCCCCCTGGCTTCTTGACCCTGACCTGGTCAGTTCCAAGTTTTTGGGACACAGATTGGATTTTCCTCGGTGCCACCATGCCAGGCTGGTGGCTGCTGCTGGCGCTGCTGTGCCACCAGCTGTGTCCCCGTGTGGTGACAGCGGCCAGGAGGGACAGGGACAAGGACAGGAGGGGCAGGAAGGAGCACCCAGAGCCCCTGAACACCTCCCTGGCCAACAGCGAGGAGCAGCCCAAGGTGGGTTTGGGATCATTCCTAGAATTATTCTGGATTTATTGGGATTTTCCTGCCTTTTCTGAGCTGATTTCGGGCTCATTTCATCAATTCTCTTTGGTTTTTTATTTAATTTTCATTGTTCTCCATGTTGGGAACAGCAGAGAACTCCCAAGGTGGATTCTGGGATCGTTCTCAGAATGATCCATTTTTCCATCCCCTGAACATCTGGGTGGGTTTTCCATGGAATTTTAGGGGATTATCAGGGAATGGGAGTCCCAGCAGTTGCAAAAAGATCTCTGAGGGACTCAGAAAAAAAATCTGAGGAATTTTCAGAGCTATTGGCTCCTCCTGGTCCCTCAGTGTCCTCCAAAAGCAGCACCACCAGCCCAGGCTGGATTTTTGGGACCCCTGAGGCCGATGTCCATCATCCTTGTCCTGGTGTGTCCCCAGCTCCTGGGCTGGATTTCTGGGAGCCCCTGAGCTCCGTCAGTGCATGATCCTTGTCCTGGTTGTCCCCAGCTGCTGGAGGCTGCAGATGCACGGCTCACAGACCCCCACAGGACCTGGATCTCCTTCGTGCACCGCCCGGACGACGGCAGCAACTCCAAGAGGAGATGCAAAGGCAAAGACAAGAAATTGGTAGGATTTGCACCCTATGTGTCCCAGTTTCCTTCCTGCCGCTCATCCTCAAGGTTCCACATTTTCCCAGCTCAAAGAGTGCTGAATTTCTTTTTTTTTTTTTTGTTTATTTTCTCAATTTTTGAGAAATTTGAGCCTTCTTTCCTCAGCAGATGAGATGTGGGAATTTTAAACCAGCCACTCCCGAACTGAGCCTTTCTTGTCCCTCAAATTGAGCCTTTCTCATCTCTCAAATTGAGCCTTTTTTAGGTTATTTTCCCACTCATTAAAAGTAAAATCAGTATTTTTTTCCCCTTCCAAGAGATAAAGTCCAAGTATCCCAAAGGATCAGTTAATCAAGGTGTGGACAAGTGGTTTATTTCAAATTAATGAGCTGAGTGACAGCTCATTAATCACGTGGCACTTTTCATCTGCTGCTTGGACAATCTTGGATTCTTTTAATTATTTTAATTATTTGAGGAATTTTTTGCATCCTCTGAACGTCTGGGCATCTTTTCCGTGGAATTTTAGAGGTTTATCAGAGGAATGGGAGTCCCAGCAGCTGGAAAAAGATCTCTGAGGGACTCTCAGAATTCTTGGCCCTTCCTGATCCCTCAAGAATCCTCCAAAAATTATCAGGAATTTTCTGGGAACAACCCCCCTCACATTGCTAATGTTCCTGTAGGATTTTCTGCAATTCCCAGGTTTTAATCCCAAATTTTCCTTTGTTTGTTCCCTCAGCGAGGCCTGGTGGGGCCTCCGGGGCCTCCTGGTCCTCAGGGACCTCCAGGAGCTCCTGGGGCTGAAGTCACCAGGGAGGTTCTTCTGCAGGAGTTCAAGGAGATCTTAAAAGGTAAAAGATTTTAAAAAGTCAAAGATTTCCAGAGGATATTCAATGTAAAGGGTGTTAAAGCCGGAGGAGCTTTGTTTTGGTGAAGAACCATGAACCAAAATGGCGACCAAAATTGTTCCCCCAGTGCTGCTGGGCTTTAATTGGAGATCCACGTGCAGAATTCCAGGCACACATTAGTGGCTTCATAGGCCAGGCCCTTAAATGAAGATTTTATTTCCTTTTATTTCATTTTATTCCTCTTTTCCCCTCAGAAATCATCAAGCACAGGGCCTCACTGGTCCTTTTGGCCCACCCCAGCCAGCTGCCTCTGCTAAGTCAGGCCCTTAATGAAGATTTTATTCAATTTTATTCCATTTAATTTCATTTTATTCCATTTTATTTCATTTTATTTCCCTTTTCCCCTCAGAAGCCATGGAGCACAGGGCCTCCCTGGCCATCTCAGCCCAGCCCAGCCAGCTGCCCCCGCTGCTGCTGTCCCTGGAGGAGGTTCCCTCGCAGCGGCGCGTGGAGGAGGCGTTCCACTGCAAGCTCAAGGGCCAGGTGCTGGTGGACAAGAAGACCTTGGTGGAACTCCAGAATTTCCAGTCGGTGAGGAACTCCAGCCTCATCCTGCTGGGGATCAGCTCCAGGGCTCTGTGGGGCTTCTGCTCAGCCCAGAGACTCCTCTGGGGCTGAAAGGAAGAGACAAATCCATGAGAAGGTGTCCAAAGGAGGCCACAGGTGGATCCACCTTGGATCCCCTTTTAAAATCTGATATTCCACAGGTTCTATCCTTGATGGATCCACCTGGGATCCCCTTTTTAAATCCATGATCCCAGAGGTTCTGCCACTGATGGATCCACCTGGGATCCCCTTTTAAAATCTAATATCCCAGAGGTTCTGCCACTGATGGATCCACCTGGGATCCTCTTTTAAAATCCACCATTCCATTATTTCCCAAACTTTTGGCAGCCTAGCTTGGCAGCCAGGCAGGATCAGCCCTGAGGCATGGGCAGGGCTGGAGGGAGAGCTGCTGCCTCATTAATTAGCAGGGAAAATGGGACTAATTAAGCCATCCCAGCAGTGGGCTGCTGCTTCCTTTGCCTCAGGCATGAGGTGCCCAATTCATTCCTGATTTTTCCTGGCTGGGAGCTGCTGTGGGAGGCTCTGGGTGCCAAACTGGCACCACAGCCAGGGACAAGAAGAGTCGGGTTTGGGCTTGTGCCCTCTGGGAAAGGGGAATGCAGAGCCAGAGCAGAGCAGGGATTTGGGATCAGCACAGGGATTCAGGATCAGCACAGGGGTGGATTTGGGCTCAGCCCAGGGCTCAGCCCTGTTCTCTCTCCACAGCCCGTGGCCAAGGGCGCATTCCTGCGGGGCTCGGGGCTGAACCTGGCCACTGGGCGCTTCACTGCCCCCGTGGGTGGCATCTACCAGTTCTCAGCCAACATCCACATTGGTGAGTGCTACCCCAGGGAGCCCAAACCCCCAGAGAACCCCTGGAGAATCCCCAGATATTCCAGAGGTTCTGCCACTGATGGCCCGTGATGGATCCCCATTTTAAATCTGATATTCTGGAGGTTGTATCCCTGATGGATCCACCCTGATGGATCCCATTTTAAATCTGATATTCCAGAGGTTCTGCCCTGACGACCAGTGATGGATCCACCTTGTATGCATTGCCTTTGGCTCCATCAGATAAGGAGGAACCCTCTGGCACCTCCTGCAGCCATCCCAGGGCTGCTGATGTCCCTCAAACCCCAGAATTTGTGGGATTTCTGACATTTTCCCTCTGTTTCTCCCAGACCACAGCGAGCTGAAGAGCAAAGTGCAGCTGCGGGCGCGGGACAGCGTGCGGGTGCTGATCTGCATCGAGTCCCTGTGCCACAGACACACGTGAGGCACCCCAGGGGCACTCAGGGGACTCCTTCCCTCTGCTTTTCCACATTTCTGAACATCTCAGCCAACTTTGGAAGATGAAGTTCACCAAAAGTGGATTTTATGGCATAAATTATTTTTTTGTGTCCCGGGGGAGGCTCAGGGGAATTTTGGGAGCTTCTCCAGCAGAGGGCAAAGCTGTGGCTCTGTCCTTGGCCCCAGACCCCAAATGCCTGCCCAGGTTTATTTTAATGCCCTGCCCTGAGCTCCTCCAGAAATCCACAGGTCCGGAAATCAGGGTGACTTTGGGACAGATCCCAGAGCAATCAGCGTGGATTTGGGATATGTCCCAGAGCAGTGGCAGTGATCTGGATGGATTTGGAACAGATCCCTGAGGATGGATTTGGGACAGATCCCAGATCCCTCAGGATGGGTTTGGGACAGGTCCCTCAGGATGGGTTTGGGACACGGATTTGGAGCAGGGATTTGGGGCAGGTCCCAGATCCCTCAGAATGGGTTTGGGACAGGTCCCTCAAGATGGGTTTGGTGCAGGGATTTGGGGCAGGGATTTGGGACAGGTCCCAGTCCAGGCGCGCGTGGCTGGGACAGACGGACGGAGCCGGCAGCAGCGCTGGGAGCCTGCCTGGACACATTCCCTGTGGAATTTCCTGGGAATGCCAGCCCTGACTCACCCATCCATCCATCCATCCATCCATCCATCCATCCATCCATGGGGCTGGAAAGGCCCCGGGCTTTGGGACGAGCCCCGGAAGCTCGGGAGGAGCAGGGGAGGGCTGGGGCAGGACCTGACACAGCCTCACCTGAGCGGCTGCCAAGGGCTCCAACCTCTCCTTTCTCCTGGGAAAAACTCGCTGGGACTTGCTGGGATTCATCACAGGGAAAAATATCATTAATAAAAATTAGGAAAGGAGTTGGTTTAATTGGGAAAACAAGGAAAAGCCAGGATTAAAACTGAGTTTAACTGGGTTTGTGCTGAGTGGCAGGTGCCAAGGGACTCCCACTTGCTATTTTTGCTGGAAAAAACATGTTGGGACTTGCAGGGATTCATCACTGGGAGAAAAATAATTAAAAAAAAAAAAAAAAGGAGGAAAAGGGCTGATTAAATTGGGAAAATAAGGAAAAACAATGATGGGCAGGAACCAGCCAGGCTTAAAACTGAGTTTAACTGGGCTGAGCAGGTGCCAAGTGGCTTCAACTTTTCATTTTTTTAATCTGTTTATTTCTTATTTTTTAGGTCCTTGGAAGTCATTGCTGGCCTGGAAAGCAACAGCAAAATCTTCACTGTTTATGTCCATGGCTTGCTGCAGCTGCAGGTGAGGCCCTGAAAATTGGGAATTTCTGCCCCAAATCTCTGGGCAGGACATGGAATTATTTCCTGGACTCTCCTTGGAATTCCAGGAAATAAATAGCAAATAAATAATTATATAACAAACAAACAAATAAATAGATAATAGCAATAATTATAATGTTAAAATTAATAATTATTAATAAATAATAACTAACTAAATAAATAATTAAATAGTTGCAATTAAATAATATTTAAATAATAAAATCCCCCTTTTTTCCTACATTTAAAGGAGGGAAATTCCTCACCTGGGACAACAATGAATTGAAATTCCATTCCCAACAGGATTTCTCTGGAATTCCATTCCAAATGGGATTTCATGGGAATTCCATTCCCCATGGGATTTCCCCCCTCGCAAGAGGGGCTCTGAAGCCACTTCGCCCAAAAAGACACCAGGGCAGGAAAGATTTTTTGGAAAAAAAACCAAAAAACCCCAGACCAAATTCCTTCCAAAGCCACAAAAATTCTTCCACGTCATCAGCTCGGCCCCAGACTTGGTCTGAATTCCTGCTGGGAATTTCAGGTTTCTGTGTGCCAGGCTCTGACCCCCAGGAGAGCACTGCACCAACCTGGGGCCCAGGAGAAGCTTCCAGAAGGGAATGGTGGAACTGGGATTGTGGGTGTGGGGTTTGGATAGAAGGGTGAGATGTCACAGGGTGGGAAACTCAGAGTTTGGGGTTTTAGAGTATGGAAATATCTGTAGAGCAAGATGGAGGTTTTAGGGTGGTGGCTGGTCCTTCTCCTTCTCCTTTTTCTCCTTCTCCTTTTTCTCCTTTTTCTCCTTTTTCTCCTTTTTCTCCTTCTTCACCTTTTCCTTTTTCTCTTTCCCCTTCTCTTCCTCCTCCACCTCCATGGGTTTGGGTGGTTTTGTGTAATTGGATAAAAACTCCACATTGCAGGCCATGGGTGGTTGGTTATTGGTTAAAAGTAAAAATAATTTGGGTGTCATTTCTTAATTAGACACTTTATCCTTAAAAGGCCTTCTAGATAGAGAGACAGGGCTCCATTTTTTGGTGAAGTGCTGCAGAACTCACAGTTTGTAGGACCATAATACAGATAAGAACTAACAAACATCTGAGTCCTAACAAGAAACTCCATCTCTCACATTTAATCCCAGCCCTGGCTGAAAAAGAAGCTAAAACTCAACAGATTCCTGCTGGTGGGAGGGATTTTTCCCTGTTTTCCCTGCAGAAACTCCCATTTTCCCATTTCCCTGCAGGCTGGCCAGTACACCTCCATCTTCGTGGACAACGGCGCCGGCGCCACCGTCACGGTCCAGCCGGGATCTGATTTCATGGGAATGCTGCTGGGAGCCTAGCAGCGAGGATGGCACCCCAAAATCCCCCAAATTCCCAAATTCCTGCCTTTTGGACTGAAAATAACCCCCTCACTTTAACCTTGAAACTGCTCCCTGCTCCTGCAGAATTTGAGTTCATCCCCAGCTCCTCCAGCTTTGCTTCCAGAAGTTGCTGCTGATTTTTGAGGTCCTCACCAACTTGTTCTTCATCAGAATTCTGCCTTTTATCCTCTTTTTACCCAAAAATCCCTTGGAATATTTAATTTGTGCTTCACCAGGCGCTCACAGAGCAGCACGCTGACTTTGGGGCTCGTTGTGTTGTAATTTGATTATTTCACTGTAGCACTTGTAACCAGCACGGGTTTGGGGGTTTTTTTGGGATTGATTTGGGTTTTGTTTTGGGTTGGAAATGAAGGATTGAGATGGGAAATATCAGAAATAAATCAGTGACTCTTTTCTGTGCGGTGGGGAGGAAGGGGACAAGGATTTCCCAGCAAAATTGCTTTTGCCGGGGGTTGGGAATGGTTTGGATCCTCTCCCAGGTTCAGATTTGGGTGTATTTGACCAGGAAAATGTTGAATTTTCCTACAATCCAAGGCTTGAACTCTTTTATATCCTTTATATCAAAATAAAATTATATATTATAATTATATATATATAATATATATAATTATGTCTCTAATTATATATTTTCTAAATATAATTATATATATTTTATATTGTTCAAAAATATATAATATATATGATTATATTTATATATATGGTTTTCCATAGTTTATATAGACAGTTTTCCCAGTTTATTTATTCACTCTCCCTCAATCCTGGAATCCCAAACTCTCCCTCAGTCCCAAAATCCCAAACTTTTCCTCAATCCCAGAATCCCAAACTCCCCCCCATTCCCACCCCAGCCCCATTCCCGGGTCCATCCCATGGGTTTATCCCGCTCAGGACCCCAAAGGAGGAGCGGGGATTTTGGGATTTTTTGGGAATCTCTGGAGTCCCCTGCCGTCCCCCCTGCCCCAAACCCCCCGTGCTGAGCAGTTCCCTGTCCCACCCCGTTTATCACATCCTGGCATCGCAGATTTTTGTTTGAGTCCCGTTTTTTTCTGGCTCCAGGAGCTCTGGGAGTCAGGAATTTAAATTGGTGTTCGCAGAGGAATGCGGATTTGGGTGCCAAAACCCCGATATCGTCTGTCTGGCACCTCCAGGGCAGGTGATTCCCGGGGAAAAATGGGAATGTTGGGCTGGGATTGGCACAGCCTGCAGCCCTGGGGGCTTCTCCTGCTCTCCCAGCACAGGGAAAAAGGGAATTTCCAGGATTTTCCAGGATTTTTCTGCTGTTCCTCCCTCCCTGCCCATGCCCAGTGGCTGTGGAGTCATTGAAGCTGGAAAAATCTGGGAGAAATCTTTAATTCTCTTCCCCCCTCCCTGTCCCGAGTGTTTGGGAGCTGACCTGTGGGATTGCGATGTGGGATGAGGAATTTTGGGGATTGGGAAGGGCAGATTCCAAAGGGGAATCCAGGAAAATCAGGGAGCTGCTGATCCTGTGAAAGCAGGAAGGACCAGTAAAACATGGCATTTTTATGTTTTTTTTTCTATGGAATGCTTCCTCGGGGATATTTCCCGGGGAATCAGGGATTGTAGCCCTCAGAAGTGCAGGAATGCTCCCAAAATTCCCATTTTTATTTTTTTTTCAGGAGCTGTTTTCTTTTCCTCCCAGGTTTTGATTTCTTTTGTCACTTTGATCTGCAGACCAAGAGCGGGAGGGGATGGAAGGTGAGAGGCGGTCACGGGATATTGAATTCCCAAAAAAAAAAAAAAAACATGGAAAGGGCAAAAAAAATGGGAAAGGAAAAGTGAAAAATGAAAATCTGAGAGGGACGGAGCAGGGGGGGCTGTGGGCATTCCATGGGATATTTTGGGAATTTTTCACTCTGTCCCCAAAAACTGGGACACGATTCCAGAGCTGGAATTCCACTTTTATCCCTGGGTGTGGCTGGGACTGGGAGAGATCCATGGAAAATTCTGGTCCTGGAACTTCCAGAGATTCTGGGTCCGAATTTGGGTGGATTTTGGGGGAATTTGGAGTTTTCTGTGTGGATTTCAGGGAGTTTGGGGTTTTCTGGATCCAAATCCATGCAGATTTTGCCAAGTTTGGAGTTTTCTGTGTGGATTTTAGGGAATTTGGAGTTTTGGGGAGCTTGGAATGTTTTGGGTCCAAATCCATGCGGATTTTGTTAAGTTTGGCGTTTTCTGGGTGGACTCTGGGGAATTTGGAGTTTTCCGTGTCCAAATCCAGGTGGAATGTGGATTTTGGGCAGTTTGGAGTTTTCTGCATGAATTTTGGGGAGTTTGGATTTTTCTGTGTGGATTTTGGGGCACTTTGGAGTTTTCAGTGTGGATTTGAGGCAGTTTGGAGCTCTCTGGTGAATTTTGGGACTCTGGATTAGATCCCTTTCCCTCCCCCCTGCAGGAGCCGCTCCCCCGGACAACTCCGAATCTCGGGAACCACAGATTTGAGCAACTTTTGGGAATCTCCTCCTTTTTTCCATCATTTCCACCAAAACCCGCCAGCCTGGGCACGGAGCCAGCAATGAAATAATCCCAATTTTCTTTGGGAACGGCTCGAATTCCCTGCAGGCGCCACATCCCTGCCCGGGGGGTGGGATCCTGCTCGCCTGGCTGGGCTGGAGCCGGGATTTCCCACTTTTCCCCTCCTTTTCCCCCCTTTCCCCCCCTCCTTTCCTCCTCCTTTTTTCCTCCTTTTCCCTTTATTTTCCCCCTTATTTTCCCCCTCCTGTCAATCCCAGCTTTTCACTTTTCCCAGAATTTTTTCCTGGCTCCCAGTGAAAATTCCCAATTGTTTGGGATCAAGCCTGTGGACAGGGGAAAGGGATGGGGTGGGAAAAAATAAAAATCCCTCCAAAAAAAAAAAAAAAAAAAAAAACAAACCAAAAAACCAGGATAAACCCCCTTTTCCAAACTTCCAGCATTTTTTCTCCTTGGAGAGGGAAGCTGGGGGAGAGCAGAGGCTGCAAATCTTGGGAAGGATTAGGGTTTGACTCGGGCTCCAGGAATGTAAATGTGTCTGGCTCCATCCTGGCTGCAAATTCCTGCCTGGAGCCCGGGCCCAGCCTTTGTTTGCCCACCCTGGATGGGCTGGGAGTGCTCAGACTGGGACTTGGGAGGGGCCAAACTGGGATCTGGGAATGGTCAGAGTGGGATTTGGGAATGGTCAAACTAAGATCTGGGAGTGTTCACATTGGGATTTGGGAATGGTCAAATAATTGGGATTTGGGAATGGTCAAACTGGGATTTGAGAAGGGTCAGACTGGGATTTGGGAATGGTCAGAGTGGGATTTGAGTAGGGTCAAACTGGGATTTGAGAAGGGTCAAATAATTGGGATTTGGGAATGGCCAAACAGGGATCTGGGAGTGTTCACATTGGGATTTAGGAGTGGTCAAATAATTGGGATTTGGGAATGGCCAAACTGGGATTTGGGAATGCTCAAATAATTGGGATTTGGGAATGCTCAAATAATTGGGATTTGGGAGCGCTCAAACTGGGATTTGGGAATGCTCAAATAATTGGGATTTGGGAATGCTCAAATAATTGGGATTTGGGAGCACTCAAGCTGGGATTTGGGAATGGTCAAATAACTGCGATTTGGGAATGGTCAAATAACTGCGATTTGGGAACGGTCAGACTGGGATTTGGGAGAGGTTTTGGTGCTGTGGAGGAGATTTGGGGGCAGCAGGAGCAGTTGGGGGTAAAATTGTGGTGATTTCCTTTCTTTTCTCTTCCTTTCCCTTTCCCCTTTCTCTTATCCCTCATCAAGCCCAAATATTCAGCACCTTAAAGATTAATTTTTAATTAAAAATCACCTTTTAGGGATGCTTTTTCCCTTAGGTTTTAACAATTCCCACACCAGAATAAGGCCGGGATGTGCTCCCAAATCTGCTCCCAAATCCCCCTGTCCTGCAGGAGTGAATCCACACAAAATCCAGGTGTGAATTCCCAAATATTGACCTGTGTGTGTGCAAATCCCAAGTGGAAAAATTCCCGCTGGGGAAGGAGCCAGAGCTCCCAGGGAAGGGAGATGAAGGGATCTGTCAAGTGGAATTCCAGGAGAAGTGGAAATTGCCAGAAATGGAGAGTCTGGAATGTGTCTAAATAAATATTCCCTGCTGGGTGTTTATTTTGTCTGGAGGTTCCTGTTCAGGGTTGCAAATCCCTGCCTTGGGGTTCTCCAGGGAATGAAGGTGGATTTGGATTTGTCTGCTGCAGATCTTCCCCTCATTCCCTGCAGGATGAGGCTGGAATTGTGCTGGGATGCTGTGGGATCACCCCTGGAATCCCAAAAGGATTCAGCTGGGATGGAATTCCAGGGTTCCTCCTCCCCTTCCTCAGGGAAGCAGCTGAGAATCCTTGGAAAAGTGTCCAGGTGGGATTTAAATCCCTGCCTTGGGATTCTCCAGGGAATCCAGGACTTGGCATTGTCCTGAAATGGATCTGGGGATTTTTCTGCTGCAAATCTTTCCTTCATTTCCCCATTCCCTTCTGGGATGAGGCTGGAATTGTGCTGGGATGCTGTGGGATCACATCCAAGTCCAGCTGCTCCATTTGTTTTCCAGGATTCTCTGCCTGGATAAAAACCCCAAAATTCCCTCAAAAAATCCCACTTCGGGAGCACAAATAATTGATCATTGTATTAATAATAAATCCCAATATTTGGGTTTATTCCCCAAGGCTTTATGTTTATTCCTTTCCTTCCACACCTTTGGTTTTCCTGAAGGAATCCCTTTTTCTTTTTGGGATGTTTTGTGGGTTTTGGGGGTTTTTTTTGGTGGAATTTTGGGGGCTTTTAAAGATTTTCTTTCTGATTTTCAGCTCATTGCTCAGTGCTCCCACCAGGACACATTTCCTGGTTTTCTTGGATTTCCTGGATGGAATTCCAAGCTGTTTTCTCCCATCTGGAATCCAGACACCCACAGCAGATGTTCCCACTAATCAGAGCCTTCCAGATGTTCCCACTAATCAGAGCCTTCCAGATGTTCCCAGCCTTGGGATATTTG